GATGTCATTTCTGCCTCTTTGGTCAAATAGTTTGGATATCAAGAGAAATTGTTCAGGTCTGACTATAAAGATCTTTCTGCTCACTGCAATGTTTGTGTCCATTTTTCTTTCTGACAGGTGATAGAGGAGCCCTACCTCAGGGTGTTCTACACAACAGAGGAGAGGTACACATTGAAGAGGTCATTTTACTCTAACAAAATTAGCACCAGTAACTCTGCAGTGCACCCTTCCCAGTACCTCACCATCACTGTGGATGCTGAAGAGAAACGGCAGCTGGAGCAGCAGATGAAGGTGAAACAGCCCACACCCTTTTCTTTAAGTATCTGGTACTCCTATAAATGTACAATATCTTGAGACTTCAGAGTTGAATTGTTTTAAGAGTTTAACTAAGGCAAGAGTTTAACTGCTAACCCTCACTGTGACCAGACCTGTGAGTCAAAGCTACGAGACATTGATGAACGGATGAAGGCCCTGCAGAAGGAAGCCACCGCACTGGATCGCCGTGACAATGAATTGTTGGCTGAGAAGAAGCAGCTTTCTGAACTGAAGGGCAAAAAGAGACAACTGGAGCAGAAAATCAGCACCAAACAGGACAGGTAGGTCTATCCTACAGGGTAAAACTGTTTTCATCTGTATCTTGTTATATGTTGACATATGACTTCATTCATAAATTGTCTCTGCAGAGATGTATTAGTTTGGTTCATGGAAATATATTGAAACTGGTCTAACTGTTTTTTTTTTTTAAAAACTGTTTAGTCTCAGGCAGATGGAGCAGAATGTTATTGACCTGCAGAAGATTGAAGAGGAGACTAAAGAGAAAATTGCAGCTGTCAATTCCCAGAAGGTGACCATAGTCACAGCGTTCATTGCTCAGATGAAGGTATGGATAAATTACAGACACTTAGAACGAAGCACCTGTGTATGACTGCTTGGCATTTGATAGCTGTGATAAGATGATGTTTAGATTTGTCCAGTGTCCTGTTGTTTCTTTGACTTTTTTCTATTAATAACTGTACTTACACATTAGGACTGTACCTGTCGTTTGTGTTTCCATGATATGTCTGTCTTTTTTGCATAGGAAATCGTTTAACTAACTAAAACGTGAGAGAGACTCTTTGTTATATTGTGATCATAGATTTTATGGATATTGTGTTTTTCAAGTCTTACTGTAAAAGTGAAAACCTGCCCTCGTAATCTTAGTCTATTTTGTGTCTCAACTGTCTGACTCCATTATCTGTGTATCTCCATCGTCTGTAGCTGAGAGCCAAGCTGACTATGGAGAAGGTGTACCTGGCTTTGGAGACTGTGGGGTTGACGGCTGAGAAGACCAAGCTAGAGAATGATTGTAGAGAAGGTGCCTCTGAACTCAAGACCACTGATGTACGTGTTTCACAAACACCTTTATCTACTCTATAGATAACTCCTATAACTCCTCGTTACGTATCAGTGGTGTATGCTAACTGTCCCTGTGCTCCTGCAGCAAAAATGCGGCCGTCTGGATCAGAGGAAGGTCCAGCTGACAGAACAGTGCAAAGGCCTGTTGAAGAGAGCAAAGACAATCTGCAGAATGCAACCTGATGAGTCATTGCCTGAAGACCTTCGTAATGTTAGTGTTTATTATATCGTCTCTTCTGTCAGTCTCTCTATGGAATACTATACTCGTCATGTGGTCCAGTAGCTGCTGTCGAGGCCTTTTGAACATGAATATTGTTCATTTCAGTTTATGAAATGTTCATGGTTCTTGGTTTTTCGTCAATGCAGGCTTTCAGCAACCTGCCCGACACGCTGGACGAGATTGATGCCATGCTGAATGAGGAGCGGTCCAGAGCTGAGTGCTTCACCGGCCTCAGTGAAAATGTAAGAGCACACAAGAATCAGCTGAGGGATTTTTTTTTTTTTACTTCATTGTTTGTTTTTGTCTATATAATCTTCTACAGAGCTTTATTCTCAGAAACCAGAATATCCTCAGAGATTAGATACATTTTGAGCCTATCTTCTTTAACTCAGATCCATCAGACCTCACTAGAATAGCCTTTTTAGGATTTCTACATAGAGACAATGGCTGCCCTCATTGTGAGTCTGAACACATCTAGCCTGTTTACACCTCGTATTAGAATGCGTCCTGGGTGATCCCATCACAAACCTCTTGCTGGGTTGGTCTTTTGTAGTGTAAACGCTAATGTGACCTGGGCCACATAGAACGGCCACCTACTTAACTTATCCTGTAAGTACACAACACGCTGCCTTTTCAGTTCACTGTAATGCAAATTGTGTGATTGGGCTCTTACCTGCAGAGATAAGCAGCAGATGTTTACACACTGTCTGTTTGAACTATACCTTTGAACTAGTAACTGCAATATCCCTTAAAAAATCTCACAATTTTGGGAAATATTGAGTGTGGAGGAACTTTGAGACGTTGTCCGCGACATATTGTTAATTATTTGGACTTCCTCGTAAATTCGGGAAATGTTAGCCATTAAGTTATTATAGCAGGGAAGTGAGATCCGATCACAAGTGGTCACTCCAGGTGTAAACAGGCTCATTGTAGCATGAACCCTCACAGTGTAACTATTTCTCATGTTAATTCTCTCTGCTTTGAAGGTTGTTGACGAGTACAACAGGAGAGAGCAGGAGATCAAGCATTTGGAGAAAGAGCTGGAAGATAGGAGCAACGCCCTGAACGCCTACCGACAGAACATATCGGAGGTACGTGATCTGTCACTGCAGTGATTCTTCTGGGATTGATTTGTAAAGAAATTCCTTTCAGTCTGTGATTTCATATTTGACAGCATGGCCATCCCGTGTATACATGTGTGTAATGATGTGTGTGTGTGTCTCTCAGGCGAAGGAGCGCTGGCTGAACCCGCTGAAGCAGCTGGTGGAACAGATTAATGGCAAGTTCAGTGATTTCTTCCGCTCCATGCAGTGTGCGGGAGAAGTTGATCTGCACTCAGAGAATGAGGTAAATCCTCACAGGAGTCACAAACCTGAATGATATCTCAGGGTTGAAGGGGGATTTCACTGGTTGCATATGAGGATTGCTCATATTGAATTATTCACGCACATGTTTTTTTTTTACAAGGTTTTATTAAATCCTGTCAAGCTCTAATAGAGGTGGTCATTTTTTTTTTTGTTCAAGCTATAAAGAAATATCACTTACTCATTAAATGTCTGCTGTCTGTCATTATAGGAGGAGTATGACAAATATGGGATCCGAATTCGGGTGAAGTTTCACAGCAGCACGCAGCTCCACGAGCTGACGCCCTACCATCAGAGTGGAGGAGAGCGCAGCGTCTCCACAATGCTCTACCTCATGGCCCTACAGGAGCTCAACCGCTGCCCCTTCAGAGTGGTAGACGAGATCAACCAGGTAGTGCTCACACACACTCAAACCCTCACAGTCAAAACAGCTCTTGATATGTGATAATATGAACATAAAAACAGAACTGCTCTTCAACTTAAGCTACTTTAATATTGATTTATTAAAACTACGTCCGTCTAAGTGGTCAGGTCAGTGCATTATGTTCAGTTTAGACAGGATACAATTGATGACCAATTATGTGTTAATAGTCTAAGTATATGAAAAAAACTTGAGGACTAAAACTTGGGTTTGTATGTTGTTGTTTTGCTTAGAAATACATATTTAAGGACGGTGCCAAAGTAGGACTAGATACTAGAAAAAGATCAGTTTGAAATTTGAAGAGGTGCAAAAGAAGCACGCTTATGTGGCTGTGACGTACTGTGACATCCACCATTGGTTTGTGATTAGTCTTGTGAATCACAACGCATCTACGCCCTAAAGCATGCCCTGCTTTATTGTCTATTTTACTCTAATTGGGACCATCATTTACAATATGAACATCATGCATCGTGGAAGAAGACTAGTGATTGAGACAATAAACTCATTAGCAAACTGTTTACTGAGCTAATGAATGAAGTGAGAAGTAGTAGAGAGGTTGCCCCTGTTGGCTGTTAGAAATAACGCAGGTTTGAGAGACATTTTGTTGGCTTCACTTCACAGTGACTGAGACTGTTTGTCTCTTTTGTGTAGGGAATGGATCCTGTCAACGAGAGAAGAGTCTTTGACATTGTGGTCCGCACGGCCTGCAAAGAGACAACATCCCAGTACTTCTTCATAACACCTAAAGTAAGTGCTTGTACCTTCTAATGAGTTCAGATGGTAAAAAGATATTGAACTCATTGAGTGTTGTGTGTATTTTTACACCTTCTGTGTAAGTTTGAGGTCCCTGGACTAGCTGGTGAACATTGTGGAGCACTTACACGGCTCCAAATAAATGCCAACGTTAGCCTGTAACTGCTGGATGTGTAAATAATCAAGTCTGCCTCTGCTATGTTTGTCTTCAGCTCCTGCAGAATCTTCAGTATGCTGAGGAGATGACTGTCCTTTGTGTCCATAACGGTGCCCACATGCTTCCTCCCAACCAATGGGATGAGAAGGCTTTCATCAGACGGTGTCTCCAAAGAAAAGCCAGGGCGTAAATCCATCAGTGCAACCCGTCCGGCCTCTATTTAATTATTGTCCAAATAAACTGACGAATGTTGTTTATTGTAAAGAATTTATCATCGATTGTAAAGAATTCCGGTTTTAGCTGATCTGTTTCAGAAAGATGAACCTTAGAAAGAGGATTTTAACTTTGTTCTGTAGAAGAGTCTTTCATATTATATTTTTTCATTTGTTGAAGTTCTTTGTTTCAAAGAGAACATTATAAAACAGGTTTACAGAAAATAGAAATATGCATTGAGCATATTTGTTTGCTCATTTGCACATTTTTGAATAAAATATTCTGTTTCTGTTCTAAATGAATATATTGAATTTATTTAGAATATTCACTTCTGTTACGTATGTCATTGTGCTTCGATTTGCATTTTTGACATTCTAAGAATAAAGTATTTTTCACTGTTTGCTTTCCATGAATCACCTTTCAGTATTCAGTTTCAATGGCTTAAAAAAAATCCCACACAAGTAGAAAAGTGCACTGATAGAACCCATTTATTTACAGCGCTCTGATGATGGTCGCTGTTAAGAGATACAGGAGAAGGACTGGAAGCTACCATCATTATCCCCGGTGTAGCCTTTGTTTGAAAATGCCTGTGGAGCAAAAGAAAAGCCATTGTTTTGGTATTTGGGACACACCTTGCTCCAGACAAAGCCAGGTACTCCCTAGACTCATTGGGTTTAGGTTGGTTTACACCAGTCTTGTTAATGTTAGTTTAATGTTAGTGTTTCCACAAGACATCTGCAGCATTGGCTAGATATCATAACATAACTGAACTTCACCTGAACCTCACTTGATGCTGTAAATGGAGCACTTCTGTGGATCGACCCAAACTCTGATGTCTTTCTCTTGTTCCTTTTCCAGCAGGTCCTTCTTTGAGTTTTCCTGTTTCCTGTAAATGAACATAAGAAATTATAAATGAACACAGTTAAATATTTAGACTCCTGAAGTGCCACTATCAGGCCACATACTTAACATCAGAAACACCCACCGTTGGTCCTCAGAGACAGTCTCCTTCTGATATAAAATCTCGTTCTTTGTCCAGAAGAAGTCCCTGTGGTGATCGTAGACAGACTTTAGCTGGAAGTCGAGGCTGTCGTTTGGAGACTGAAGTTGAGAAAAGAGCTGGAGTGAGAATGTGTTTGCCTCAGAATATATATATTTTTTTTTTTAAACCATGAAAAGCTCACCTGACACTCATAATGCATAACACTCCTCCGGGTGCTGGCCACAGTGGCTGTATCATGAAGGCGACTCCACGGTTCCTTTGTTTGGGCGATGTGAGTTGGTGTATCATATCTTCTCTGCACAATGGGCAAGGACAGAAAATAATGCCAAATTAATAAAGAAATATCTTTTAGATCAAAATGATGCCACAAAGGAATCGGCACAAATGTAAATCACACAATGAGTGACACTAATTGCTCAGGGTCGTTCTAATAGCTGGACTGATGAGCTTCAATATTAAACGTCGATATGCTTTCGAATGAAATCCTACAAATGTAGCAGCACAATAATACTCCACAGTAAATGATTTGTATTTGATGACTTCACCATCTATGTTAATTTTGTTAGATCCAACATTGGATTAATTATAAAAAGTATATATAAAAAGTATTATAATAACAATAAGTCAACAATGACAGAGCTCAAAAATGTCACACAAGGTTGCTTTAGGTAAAACTTATAGTCAACAAATACACTTTAAAATGCAAATGTTTTGTACACAATTAGAATTAAAGAGATTAAAGTGTCTGTTGGGTTGCGGTATACTTACATACACATTTACAGTTTGATTAAATGTACTCTTTAATCTTTATAGTTTGCTATGTGAAAAATTCTGATGTATTTATTAGCTGCACAGGACAGGGCTGTTTTATTTCCTTCGCCATCCTGGAAAGAAAACACCACCTCCTGTTCCAAGTAACTTATGTAGGAGCAACTATGGTTGGTGCCACAAACTAATGGTTTGTCCATTATGGGCTACTGTAAAAACAGGGCGCTTTAACATGGCAGCCTCCGTAGAAGAGGACCCGCTCCCTCTGCAGATAGAAAGGTTCAATCTGAGGCAACAAAAACGCAATTCTTATTTTCTGCTGATTATACACTAATGAAAACAAACCTGTGAAGAAGATGTAGTTTCTGCCAGTAGATCCCCTAATTCTCACACACTGGACTTTAACCCTGGGCCATGTAATGTTTCAGCAGGGGGCTCATAGGCAGGTTAATATGGTCATTTAACAACAGAATATAGTAATATGTTCATTCATAATGGCAGAGGACTGGGCCCAGGTCTGGAGCCAGGTCTGGATCAATGTGTATTTTGAATTAAATCTCTACAAGAATAGCAGACAGACAGTAAGTTAAGTTATTCTCCACAGAAACACCCACCTGCTGCTGCGGCCTGAAGCCGCTGAGAGTGAAGCCGTTTTCAAGTTTTGGGAAGGGGAAAGGATCCCGACCAGACATATTTAATGACAACACGAAGCTCGACAGACTGAAGTCCGCTGTTAGCTCGTATAATATAAATTAACTTAGCTAAAGAAGAACTGTGCTAGAGTGTTTACAACCTGGTAACTTAGCAACCACAAACTTCCGGTTAAACCTTTCAAAAGAAAACGACTGTTGTCGAAAGTTTCTTGTCCCATCAAGGTTGTTATAACTTAGTTAACTAAAACTAGACTGAAAACGAAAACTAGGTTTGAACAAACATTTGAGTTGACTGAAATAAAAACCAGACTTTAGAAAAATCTAAAACTAACTGAATCATAATTGTGTACAAAACAAAACACAAAAATAAAGATAAAAAAAAAAAAAAAATACAGGAAATGCCTTTGGTTTTAGTCTTTGGTCAATTTGGTCAAATTTGTGAACAAGACGAGCCTGAGGAGGCACTGGTGCATATGTTTATTGACACTGGGAGGTCTACTACATGACTGAGTGTTTGTACTCAATGAACTTCTCTTATCTTTGCAAACACGCCCTCCATATTATAATAAGAGAAACTAATACTGGAACTAATTAAACAGTAAAAAATAAACTGAACGACCAAACCCACTCTGGAAAGTAAAACTAAACTGAATAAAAAAAATAAAATTAAAATAAAATAGGCTGTACAAAACTATAATAACTCTGGTCCCCACACATCATGGGCCGATTTGAATTTGATAGTAAAAACAAAAATCACTTGCTGCCTTGAAATAAATGCTACTTTTTAAACACACTACTTAGCATCAGTTGCTAAAAAAGACATAATGCAATAATAATAATGTAATGTTTTGTACTTGAACATAGCAATAAAGGGCTCACTTCTACGGTAAATGTCCCAATAATAATACTAGCAGAAGGCAGGTGAAATACATGTCAACCTGCGGTGTTTTAACAGTCACCATTAAACGATGAGTCAGAGGGGACTCAGCCAATCCCCTCCCAGTGTTTGTCCACCGTTCAGAGTGAAGCCCCGCCCCCAGCAGCACCTGAGGGCGCAGGCCAGCCCTCTGCTCCTCTGTCTCCATCACTTGAGCACTGACAGGAGGCGACGATGCAGGGAGGCCCGACACACCTGAGCCACCTTTTACTGTGGCTGCTTCTCGCACAAACCTCTGCGGATTTGCCCATGTGCAAAGAGGTGAGGGGACTCATATTATTTAATTAGCCTTGTTATGAATAACAAGCCACCCAAAGCTAAAATGACTTGTCAACTCATAGGTGTAACTTATTCTTATTATGACAATTTAATGTGTAAATTACGTATTGATGATAATTATATTAAATCTAGCAAAATAAGCAATTTGTTGCCCTTAGGGGCCAGACATTTTGACAGATAGCTGACATAAAGCCCCTTAAACAGCTTCACTCAGTTACACATATGTCTGATAATGCAAGGAGACCTGTTACCTGCTATGCTTTAATGTTGTATTATTGGAGGATTGCCTCTTTAGTCATAAAAATTAAACCCACATAAAAAGAAGTGTACATTTTATAATGTAACGTTTGAGGAGGTACAATCCAATAACACTGGCTTACTACACATACGCCTGCTCGCTTCGGTGTTGTGGTTATCACACACTTATTTTACTAGAGTTTCCATATGTTACACCGTCTGCTCTTTCCTCGCCCTTCTATATCTGGTTTGCATAACAACAGTACCGTCTGATAATACTCCAAACATTTCTTTTTTTTATCAGAGGTGTGAGGGAGAAGTTGTGTTAGTATGCTGTTTTATCTGGAGTGTATCAGGCTCATAGATGAGGATGATTTTGGGGGAGAAGCTACTTTAATCCGAAGAGTTTGTTTCCATGCCAGTGCACTGCCACGGTGTCCAGCAGGTCATTATGTCCCGTTGCCTTGGTTTCCTCATGTTTGTTTAAAGGAGGCGATTAAGCTACAGAACATCTCCACCTTGATGCATTTTCACATCAGATTCTCCCACCCAGACCCGTGTTCATCTGATATCCCAGCCACAGCTAATGTAGCAGCTCTTAATGAAAAACACAGACCCGGAGGAGTGCTGCTGCGTTGTTTCTGTTAACTATAAATCCCACAAGGCCGTGTGTGGGCTTGGATTAGTGTCCTGAATGACTTTCCTTCAAATATTACAGCTAGGTGCTGACCAAGATTACACTGCTCAGTATTCATGACATGTTTCAGAGGATGTCAGATCAACAAGATAACCTTTATGTCACAACCCAAATTACATTAATAAGGGTAGGATGGTGTTTGTCAGTCACCTACTTAAGTATCTCCAAAAGGTGTCAAAGCCCGACAAACAAGTACAGCAAAAGCTTTGCACCTGAGCTCCCGCTGTCTCCAAACTCCTGCGACAACACTAAAATTAAATGTTTACAGAAGGATTGGACGAATCAGCATTTATACCCCTTGGCTAAGTAAATAAACCCTAAAGAGAAACCGCAGCACATCCTTGCTGAGTGAGATTAAAACAACAGTTGAGACGGCTTCCTGGGCAAATATTAGCCTTAACTTTTATTTGGAAAGGAGGTTTGCCTGGTTTTGTAAAACACATTCCAGAGGTATAAAACAATCTGGTAACCTCTTTTTAATAAAACCCCAGTTTCTCCTCAAACACATGCTGACTTGCGTATTAATGTATCAATAAAATGTATTTGATGCATATGGTGTTTTCTTATCTTGCTGTGTGAAACTCACACCTGTGTTTGGTCCCTGCAGTCAGATTATCACTTTGAGTACACAGAGTGTGACGTACTCGGATCACGATGGAGAGTGGCGGTTCCCAACAAAGCTGACACATGCACAGGCCTCCCAGATCCAGTGAAAGGCACTCAGTGCAGTAAGTGTCCTACTCTTACATCTCATTTTACGTGTTCTGCACACCCTCTGTATCACAGCTTTAATGTGTAAATGATAAATTGTTACCACATTTTTATCCTCATTTTATCCTCCTCTTGTAGCCTTCTCCTGTAGTGAGGGGGAGTACCTCAACATGCAGTCGCAGCAGTGCCAGAAGTGTGCTGCAGGCACGTACTCTCTGGGCACCGGCGTGGCCTTTGATGAGTGGGACAGCCTGCCGTCTGGTTTTGTCACCCATGGAATGAACACAAACGGCAGGGACGTCCACACAGACTGCTCCAAGTTAGTACATGCCTCGCTTTTTCTTTATTTTAAAAGCATTTTGCTTTGTTGTTGTGTTATCAATCAGAGCTCTCACTGTTTTTTAGTCTCATCAAACTGTTTCTGCTGCTGATGTTTCTCCAGCTCAACATGGACACCAAGGGGTGATTATGTAGCCTCAAACACAGACGAGTGCACTGCAACGCTGTCCTATGCTGTGAGCCTGAAGAAACCTGGAACTGTGTCCTTTGAATATTTCTACCCCGACAGCAGCATTTACTTTGAGTTCTTTGTAAGTGTTTTTAAAATTACTCTTTGGTGTTGACAAAAATTGCAGTTTTTATGCGGGATGTTGGGTAACCTCTAGCTTGTTTCCCCCCTCTCTTTTAGGTTCAGAATGACCAGTGTCAGTCTACAGACTCTGAGAACCGGTGGATGAAGATCTCTGAGAGCAACTGGAGCCAGTACAGGGTTTGTAGCTTCATCATCTCCATTTACTGGAGAATTCATATTAGAAAAGCTCTCAATTTTTCACATTCACCCTGTGCAGGTTGAGCTGAGCAGCGGCAACAACGTGCTGTACTGGAGAACCACTGCGTATAGTCTGCAGGGCAGTGCTGTCAAACCTGTTATGTTGAGAAACATTGCCATCTCAGGTAGAGCATCGCCTGTAGTTCTTTGTAGACAGCCGTTTTAAACATTTGTTCACCCCTCAACTCCTTTTTCTTGTTAATAATTACAAGCTGATTGATGGTTTTCTTTCAGGGGTAGCCTACACATCAGAGTGTTTCCATTGTAAACCCGGCACCCACAGTGCAAAACCAGGATCTGCCCGCTGTACCCCCTGTCCTGCTCAGACCTACTCCAACAAAGGTGCCACTGTTTGCCATCAGTGTGAAGAAGACAAATATGCAGGTATGCACGTTTGCATTTCTAATCCCGTCCACAAAGACTCATATCACTGACTGATTAACTTGACATAATTCTTGCCAATATGTCTAAACTTACAACCATTACGTATTTGCATGTTTCCACACACATAAGTCTGCATGCAAATACTGCATTTACTGCTTGAGTGTGTGAGGTTAGTCTTATCACTGGATCTAAATGTGAGCTGTGTGTTTTTTCTCATCCACGCCCGCTGTTTCCCCTGGCCTGGTTTTTGTATTTTTCCAGAGGCTGGTTCAGGGAGCTGCAAACCGAGACCTGCATGTACAAACAGTGACTACTTCTACACCCACACTCCCTGTGACTCTGAGGGAAAGGTAATGTAGGAAATTATATGACGTGTGTGGATGCTGCAGGTTCAGTAGAGGTGAACACAGAGAAATTTATCTGGCTAGCAACCATCTGCTGTAACTATCGGGTTTCTTTAAATATAAATTGTCTGGGCTGATTGTGTGTGTCACGGATACACCGGCGGCTTCTTTCATGTATTCATGTCTGGCTTGCTGTGTGTGTCTCAGACTCAGCTCATGTACAAGTGGAACGAGCCTAAGATCTGCAGTGAGACTGTTGAGGGAGCTGTGAAGCTGCCCGCATCAGGGGAGAAGCAAACCTGTCCTCCATGTAACCCGGGTTTCTTTGTCACCAACTCTTCTACCTGTGAACCCTGCGATGAAGGTTTCTACTCAAATGGAACAGGTGTTGAATCACTAAACTCCTTATACGCTGTCTTACACACATGTCAGACTGAGGGGATTATTTTGTACTGTATACATGTATACTTACCAAAGACGCTCATCATTTGTGACTAAATATCAATTAAGATGTTTTTAATAAAAGCTCATTTTCTTTGAATATCTTGCCTATAGATAGTTCATTGATGTTGTTGTTCAGTGATGTAATATCAGAAAATGGTTGTTGAATCTCAACTAATAAGCTGTTGAAATGTTTCAAATACTCTAGAAATTCTAGTGGTGTCACTGTAAAAGTCACCTAAATTGATTATACTTCCTGATATATGTAAAAAAGTATATAAAGTCCAGACACAAATGACAGAAAACACATAGTACTGAAACAATTATGAAGGAATCACTTGAAGTCACAAACTGATTTTAAATAGATTTTTGTGTTCATAAAGGCTGTAATTTCCTATTGTAATATTCAAACTTAATGTTGTAATGAATGTGCAGCTGAATAAGCTTTCTCGGAGAAATTGCAATTTTGAATACATTTAAGACACTGATGTTAAGAGTAAAAACGGTCTGTTTGCACTATTGAAGGCTGCAAATGAATCAGCTCCAGTCCTATTTCTCTTTAATGTAAACCCAAATGGTCGTGCCACCACATTTCTGTTTTGTATGTGCTCACATAATAACATACTTTTCACTCTTAGCCTGTACCAAGTGCCCTGTTGGGACGGAACCGGTGGTGGATTTCGAGTACAAATGGTGGAACACAATGCCGAACAACATGAAGAGCTCAATCTTCCATCGAGAGTTCAGCGACTCCGAACACAGCACGGGTGAGACACATAAGGGTACCAGAGGTGCCAAAGCAGCCAGTGGTTGAGGGATAGCACAGAAAGCACAATTGAACACCCAAAAAGTAATTATCCAGAAAAGAAAAATGAAAGACGAGGACCAAGAGAGATAGAGAATGAAATACAGGATGTATCTCTCATAAAATAACAAACAAATGGGACCGTCTGAATTATTGTCTGCATTGCTAGAAGGATATCATTGTGTGAGCTGTTTTTTTATGTGTAATGACAGCATGGGAGGTGGCTGGAGAGTATGTCTACACAACCCCCGGGGATCAGGACTCAGACTACCTGATGCTGACTCTCAGTGTCCCTGGATACAGGTAAAATGTCAAATATGTCTCTTAAAGGGATAACACATAAAAAGCCTATATATATATATGTATATACACTGTATCCCAGTTGAAAAAACCTGAATGAAATGTCACTGTCCACAGGCTGCCTCAGTCCATTGCCACAGACAGTGAAAGAAGTGAACTATCTCGCATCACCTTTGTCTTTGAGACCATGTGTACAGCTGACTGCAAATTTTACTTCCTGGCGGTGAGGGAACATTTATTCTCACAAACATGCTTCGGGATGCATGCATATAAAGAAGTAAAGCGTGACATCAGTATGACTATATACAAAGTATAAATGTGTGTTTTGTCTGCAGGGTTATAATCAGTGGAATAATGATGTGGTGGAGGAGTGGAAAGGCAGCAACAGGAAACAGTCGTACTCCTACCTGATCCAGAGGAACAGCACCACCAGCTTCACCTGGACATTTCAACGAACGGAGGACTTTAACGTGGTGAGTGACAATCACACACCCTGAATGTCACTCCTGATCTATGACTATGATCAAGACTAGGTTAAAAATCTGCCGAAGTTCCCCTTTAAATTATCTTCATCCTATAGCTCTTTATTTGTTTGTATTCTTATACATACAGTCTATTTTATACATAAACATATAAACATTTTTCTCTTTTCTTCTTTTTCCTTATCTCTCTCTGTACGTAATGTTGTAACTTCTGTTTTAAAAGTTAACTCAATGACAGGTACATGTAAGGGGAAGCCTGACACATTAGCCATTATAGAGGTTTTTATAATGATTTATTATGCATGATGATTTGCAAGAGGGCAAGAAGATGAAGCACCAAAATTCATCACAAATACTGTACATTTATTAATAAATAATGGCTGTAAATGTTTTACATAATCACTAGAACTAGTTTTGATGGACGTCTTTAGTGTCATGTTTGCTTTTGCTGATTTTCTTGCACGACGGTGAGTTTGTCCCCAGTTATTGCAGTGATCTCTAGAGGGCAGTCTGGAGCCGTGTGTCCTTTTTGAAAATATCAGAATGACCTCTGCAGCACAGACCAGTACATTGCATGTAGAGCAACTCAGCTGGTACCTTGTGTTTCTCTTCCCTCAGGAGAGAAAGTACAGTGCTGATGTTGCAAAGATCTACTCCATCCACATCACTAATGTGATAGGAGGTGTGGCCTCTCAGTGCCGCCGCTGTGCCCTGAGCTCTGCAAAGGCCGGCTCCACCTGTGTTCCTTGCCCAACGGGGCACTACATGGTCAATAGGACGGGGGTGTGTAAGAGCTGCCCCCCAAACACCTTCATCAAGGCCGATCATGCTGTCGGAGAGGCTGCTTGTGTTCAGTGTGGACCAAACACAGAGAGAAACAAGGTAATGGGAATACTCCAAATACAAAGCCCAGACTAAGTCTATCAGTGCATGAATGTATGCAAGGTCACTCTGGGGGCTTTAATGTATACATACAACAAACACTATACCACTAGACTAAAAACCATCACTGGTGGAATACACATTTATAGAAAAATATAATTAGACAGTTAAATAAATTGTGAAAAAAATGTGCTGGCTCTACAAAAAAAAAGGAAGTTGCTTTGGGGAATTTGAGCTCATGACTCATTTCTAAAACCCTGACTATGGCCCTGAATGTATCTATATCATATGTATTAGTATGAATTGTTAAGTTAATTTACCAGAATTAATGCTGCCTCAGGTGTTATTTACCTATTATTTGCCGTCTTTTATAATGTACAAACAAAATAAAAACATACAGCTCTAAAAACACAAAAGGTCAAACTTAAGTTCCACTGATAAGACGCACTCTAAAGTATGAGACGTCTACATGCCTCTGCGTATATTGCAGCTAATATTGGCATTTACCAGTTGTCTTATGTGGAACTCCCACAGCTGTTACATGAGGTTATTGATGTATGGTGTATATTTAAATGTAAGTATCTCTCCATATTAGGCCCACACGGCTTGCCTCAGTGACTGTGCGTTGGACGTGCAGACGACAGGAGGAGCGCTGCTGCACTATGACTTCTCTCCTCTGGCCAACGTCACCAGCTTCCACAGCAGCCCCCGCTTCACCAACAAAGGCCTGAGATATTTCCATCGCTTTAATTTGGGTCTGTGTGGGAGAGAGGTGAGAAGCTGTGATCCTGATGACTTTGGTTTTTGTTTGAAATTTAGTTTGATGTGCATTTTAACCTGCTGTCTCTTACAGGGCAGAGTACCGGCCACCTGTGTGGACAACGTAACAGAGAGCGGGAGAGAAGTCAAAGGTTACGTCTGTCAGTCCACTGTGGTTCCCTCTGACATCAGGAGTCAGAGCGTGGTGTCCTCCCAGCCTTTCCTTATTGGTGCCTCACTCATTGGTACGGACTGATATGTGTTTAAGATCTTTTCAACACCACATTTGATCATTTGCAGATAAATGTGATATTAATTAAGGCCAACCCATGCTGACGGTGTAGGATGAACTATAAATCACCCTTGTCTGTTCTTTTATGTAAGCCCACATGGTGGTGTGTTGTACCGGGGTGTGCCAATTTCCTATTTCTCAGTGTCAATGTGTGTCAGTGCTCCAAAAAAGCAGCAATTTTGGATCGAAAGATTCTGGCTTCCAGACCTTGACGGCTTCTGGCTGAATGTAACGTGTGCTGTGGCTGTCAATTAATGTGTGTCAAATCGACCACTGGCTTCAGTTACTAGTTCATGGTGTGTTGTTTAGTCTGCTGGGTTGTAGAATGAAATCTAAATTGTGACAGAATTTAAAGTTTAAAGTTATACGCTCCAAAACATTTCTGTTCATTGTTACAGTGGCTCCCAGTCAAGGGTCTGGGAACCCCACAAACCATCACAAGCTGAAACTATGGGATGTTTGATTATTATTGGAGTACAAAATAAGACAATAATCTGGTAGATTATGTTTAATTTGTTTTTACAAATGCTAATGATTTTTGGTGTTCCTTTGACTTTTCCACTTGCACCACCATGAGGTTACCATTTGTGGTCTAATATAAACAACTATTGGATAGATTTCTAGATGCCGTTAACGTAGCTACTGACTCTTAGTCTCATTACTGTATAGTTTCATATTTATAAGTGTAGTTTTACCTCTTCAGCTTCTAAAACTTAAACAACAGTCTAAGAAATGGCTCACACCTCTCACAAACATATGCAGCCTGTGATGCAATTACACATTGCTTTGTAGGGTTGCTAGCAAAAAAGGTTGCAACCACTGGTTTACATTGTGTGTCATAAATCATAAATGTCATAAATAAGTTATATGTCCCTTTATTCTGAAGGTGTGACCACTGACACAACCCTCAGTAGCATCTCCTCTCCAAAATGGATGTTTCCCTCTTCGTCTGGCCTGCCAGATGTCATATTCTACTACAAGTAAAACACAATTTCTCATATTTTTTGTTTCATTCATCAATGGTGGTGCTTTCAGTTCGAAGATTTTAAATTGTAAATATTTGATGCTGAAAGGCATTTGTTTGATTATGGAATATAATTAAGAATCAAAGTCTTAAAATACATCACATGGTGGAAGTTAAGACCTTTATGTTTGTCATGTTTTTGATGTTTTCAGGTCGAGTGAGACGACTCAGGCTTGTAAACAAGGAAGGTCAGCTGCCATCAGACTTAGATGCAACCCCACAGTGACGTCTAAAGACCTCATCACGCTGCCAAGGTGTCTTTCACTGTGACTGAGCCCAGCTATTGACATTATGAGAGTGGTCCAGACAACATTTGATGTGACACACATACTGTATTCAGTGTGCGAACTATAGGCTACCAGGGCTTTCGGGAGGCTATTTAGGGGAGCTCTTGTCTTGTCTCCCTGTAGTTCGCACCCTGATATATTACAGCAGCACTTACAAGTTATGTAAATCTGAACAAAGTGACTCCGTGATGGTTGTTTTTACCACATAAAGCTTGTAATCATCTCTCTTTCCTTGTTTTCCTCAACAGTAACTGTTCAGAGGGGACATGTGATGGTTGTACTTTCCACTTTCTGTGGGAGAGCCAGCATGCATGTCCACTCTGCACCAAAAACCACTACAGAGAGATTGTCAGCGCTTGCATCCAGGGAATACAGGTAGTGCGGCACAGCCATGGACATACTGACAAAAATAATTTTACCTTCTCAACCCTACAAATCCATCACAGGTCACATCCAGACAGATACTGAGAGATTCCAAAAAATATGTCATAGCCAAAGAAAACAGTTTACCAACACCTCTAAAGCTCATTAATTAACAAGTTACATCTTATTTTTGTAATCCGTACAAACAAAAGTATAAAAACTACAATTCACAAAAGTTTTGTGGGGTTTTTGTGACGGACTATTTCTTGGCTGGGAGCAGCAACCAGAACCAGTCGAGCTGTTTCTGCCTGTTTCCAGTCTGTGTCATCTAAGTGCATTTCCCAAAATGTTGAACAATTCAGTTCAGGAAAATACTGAAAACATCAGGATTCAAATACTTAACTGATGATCAATCTGTGTGTGTGTGTGTGTTTGTGTTTCAGAAAACCACCTATGTGTGGCAGCAGCCGTTGCAGTGTTACGGAGGAGAGTCTCTACCAGCACAAAAAGTCAGTGCTTGTGTGACTCTGGATTTCTGGCTAAAATTTGGTGTTTCCACGGGAACGATTGCTGCTGTGCTGCTCATCAGTATCAGCTGCTATTTCTGGAAGAAGACACGCAAGTGAGAATGCTGTGCTTCACATTTCCTTTGGTGTTTTGTTGAAGCACTGATATATCATACTTTAAGATTAAGGCTGAAATCTAAGCTAATCGTATAAAAACTCCAAAGACAAAACTGTAATTTATGTGACCAAGATGCGACTCCTGTCACCCTCTGTGTCTGCAGGTTGCAGTATAAGTACTCTAAGCTGATGATGAACTCTGGGGATAAAGAGTGTGAGCTGCCCACTGCAGACAGCTGTGCAATAATGGAGGGAGAGGATGCAGAGGACGACATCATGTACCTCACCAAGAGATCCTTCTTCACCAAGAAAATGAAATCCTTCTCACGAGAGGTCAGTTACCCCTCTATTCACACACATACTGAGCTACAGATGAGGCAACTTTTCATGCTTTGTGTTATCATCAATGTGCTTTCAGAGGACATCAGATGGATTTGACTCGGTTCCTCTTAAGTCATCGTCTTCACACCAGCAAAGAGAAGAGGAAGACTCCGATGATGCTTAACTCAGATGACGAACTGAAGCTGTTTGACATCAATGTAGGTCCAACAGACGGAGTCACAGAAAACACAGATGGGCTGTTGAATTAAATTTTTATTATTACAAAACATAAACTGGATTACTGAAGGATTTTTTAAATAGTGTACGTGACAATTTTATGTAGTATTATTTGTCATATGTTAGATTGCCAAATCTAATAGTGCAATACAAAGTCTCCATACTGGGGATACTCTGTATTTTCAAGGCCCAACAGTGTATTTCAAAATGATGTAAGAACCATACTGTGGATAAAGTTACAATTGTTGTAGGTGTGTTAGACTGTGAGTGTGTATCTCATTATTTTCTATATTACTTTTGTTATTTTATTTTTTATTTGGCTATCCTGTTTTTTTTTATTAGACCAGACATCTATTTCAATCTTACCATGTTATTTGCCAATTTGTGATTTATATTTGCTGTAGCTTTTGCTAATGTTTTCTGCTCCAGCCAAGCTTATGATATAACCTTGCTTTATTTTGGAGTAAAGACATTTTCTACAATAAAAAAATGTGCATCTGCAGGAATTAAGAATGACCTCTAATGCCGCCTCTAATGCCGCCTCTCAGACCATACTGCTGAAAATAATTATACGACTTCACGTTATGTATATTATATAATACTTTTATGTTACTACTTTATATGTTTATATGTATTTGAATGTGCTTATGATTGAAAAAATGTCAAAAGTATATTTGTAGTTGGTTTAACTAAGAAAAATACAAACAGCAATGTTATTAATAATCCAAAATGTATCTCCTTTCTGTGATTTTCCATGGAAGAATGAAATTATATTTCCACAACAAATATCTTAAATCTTGGTAAATCGACATTTGTTCAAGTACTGCACTTTCATACTTCCAGTTCCTGCTATTTTTGAGGTGAAGCAGTAAAGTATCTTTTTCACTACAATTCAGAATTAAATGTACTTTTTACTAGTTTTGACATTTATATGACAGCTAAAGAAAGCCACTAGTTACTTTGCAGATTAAGATTATACATGCAAAATATATTATAAAATATGATGTATTATTGATTAACTACCCAATAATATATAACATTGTTAAAAAATAAAAACATCTATAGTATTACCGTGTTGTTTAAGGTTATTGCCTAAATAATCATCCAATAATGCTGCATTATGGATATTTTTACTTTTGATACTTCAAGTACATTTAGTTGATAATCTTTTTGTACTTTTACATAAGTATATATTTTTAATAGCAACACTTAACTTTTAATTGAGTACTTTTACTTGTTTTTTTAGACACTTATAATCAAGTAAAGGATCTTAATAATCGTTACACTACTGACCGTCCTTTTATATCTCCGCATTGTGACTATTGTGTTAAGGAGGAAACTAATTTTTCCCCGTGGCACCTGAAAGCAGCACGGGTTTCAGTTTCTGTCGTTGCTTGCACTATCCCGTTTTAGTTCTCGCGAGACTTTGCGACGTGTTGCAAGCAGGGTGTAATCTCGGGAGCTCAAAGTGAGCGGAGTGAGGAACAAATAGCGTGAAGATTTAGAAAACGTGCATTAAAGCTAACGGGGCTTTTGCAACATTTCCGCAACAAAGGCAGCCCCCCGTTGACCTTAGAGTATTTAAAACTCTCTAGCGACGGGAGATAGTTCGTTTAGCTTCTCTTCTCGTAACTTGGGAAAAAGTTTAAGGCAAGGCTTGCACGGCTCGGAGTCCCCACCTCAGAGCAGAAAGTCAAGTCCGGTGGTCGGCAGTCGGTTCTGCAGGAATGTCGCAGAGAGAGAGACCCAAGTTTTACCGACAGGACGTCAACAAGACGATATGGGAAGTCCCCGAAAGATACCAAACCCTGTCCCCGGTTGGCTCTGGCGCCTACGGAACCGTGAGGTGAATCTGCAGTTTTTTTTCCCGTGTTAGTTTTGTGAACGTGTAGCAGTTAATTTAACCTCCATTCATTTAGACGAGGCCTGCGCTGCAGATGCTAAAGTTAGGTTAGCTCGTCCCCAATTGTTGGCTAGCAAGGTGGAGCCACGATGTTCCCTTTCAGCAAGAAAACCTGTTGACTTGTTGTGTATCTTGTATTGTCTCCTTGTGTCATTTAATATGTCTAACTGCATGTATATAACGTTATATACTCCCTCATACAAGCCCCCCCATACTGCAGGAAACAATAGCTGGACTGTTGGAAAAAGTGTGTGTCCTTATCTGATGGGTTGGTATGTTACAATCACAGATTAATACAGCAGCAACTCCTCTCACACTGTGGCTGCAGATCATGTTTCCATATGTTACTTTAATGTCATTTACATTACATTATCTCTGTAAAGTCCCACCGACAGGAGATGTAATCCGAGTAAGTTAGAGTGAGGTTGTCACATATAGTTGGGGTGTTGCCAATGTGTTCTGTGTAATATTACAAATATGGTTTTGACTCACTGCCTTCATATTGATCATGTGACAATATCTATTGTTGTTGCTTCCGTGCAGATGTTTAATTTAAAGTAATGATTACTAATGTTGATAAGATCTGCGAGTTATTTTCACTCATAATAGTTGAATAAATTCATATATATATATATATA